GGCTTGGGCAAATCGGCTACTTAACACACATAAATTGGCGAATTAACTTCGCAAAAGTCTGGCAACACTGGAACCAGATTTTAGTCTGTGGTATTTGCAGCTGTTTGTGACATATTTATTGTCGTGTTTTACTTAGTAGTTTGTGGTGTTTTACTGTTTTCGTTTCAGTTTCGACCACAAAGTACTTTTGTATACTAGGTTTCGACAATGATTAAAAGTTCATTTCACGGTGTAATAGATGAAATTCCCGGTATTTCTGTGGATAACTTCGAGAGGGCTGATGCAGTGCAGGCTAGAGCCTACTTCCTCAGTCATTGCCATTCAGATCACACCCAGGGTCTGTTCACAAAGGAGTTGATAGAAACTCTGGAGAGAACTCGCGCATGTCTCTACATGTCCGAACCTACAGCTGCCATTATTGAGGATGAAAATAATGACGAGAGATTATTAAAGTACATTAAAATTTTACCATTGGGTAAGACTATTACTTTTTTAAATAACTAATTTTATAGGTATATAATTCAATCCCGCTATCGCTAATTAAGAAGATAATTATATGCATAATGTTAATTCTATAAACATTCTGTATTTTTTATAATTGTTTCAAGAATTAATATCTTGAAAGCTATTTAATGTCTCAACTCTGATGTCAGCTAGTGTTGAAATAACTTTTGGTAACAGTAGAGCTCCCTGAGAAAGAGCTCGTCCAGGGAAGTACTGCCACTTTACCTATTTCTGCCACCAAACAGTAATGTCAGCATTACTGTGTTCGGGTTTTGAATGGTACTGGTGAAATTACAGGCACATGGGACTTATCAACTTATCATTACATAAAAAATTAATATAACATATATTATTTACAGGGAAGCGTTTTAAAGTTCTCCGTTTTATTCGTCAACGCTCGTTACTCAAATAGAGTGACCTAATACATCATCTAACCGATATCTAGGATTTTATAATACTCTATGTGAGTAACGAGCTTTGTTGAATAAAACTGAGAAATGCTAAAGTCACATGTTGTGCTTATTTCAGTGAATTCAGAATATTTAAAAGGCTCCTCTGTAAACTTGGCAATTTCGACATACGATACTTTATGTCAGAGGGGTCGTTATGTCTCAGGGTGACGGGCGCAGTGGCAGTGCCCCTCAGATCTTTGCGATTTAAATCTCTGAGTGTTATGGACAGGATTATTGTTGTACTTCGTTTCAATCCATTTTAAACAGAAAGTAAACAAACAAGTCACTGGCCCGACCGACCGTACATGGTTTAATGATGGCCAATTCTACTGCAACCTACAAACCAATTAATTAATTGAATGATTTGTTCCATTGCGTCATACTAGCGGTTTTCATTACATAACTTATAAAAGCATAATTTTGTTTGTATTTGACACTTTGTTTATATTTGTGCTGTTCTTACTTCTTTGATATTGTTTAATTTATGATGTTGTTGCTGTTGCTATTTATTGGCATTTTTACTTAATTTTATACGACATTGCTTATTTGACAAATTGTATAAATTTAATTTATGACATTATTTAACTTCAATTTATTTTAATATTTGCGTGCCAGTGTCTGGTGCAACACGTGTTCTTGACACCTTGTATAATACTATCTTTTCTTACCGTGTTTGCTTGCGAATAAATATTTCATTTCATTAAAAAATCGAAATCTTAAATGTCAAATCTCCTTCAAATCCTTACTGAAGAAAGAAAGACACAGGCTAATAAATCAGGGTTATTAGTAAATTTTTTGGGTAAATTAATGAGATAATGCATGCAATGTAGATGTAAACAAGGATTATAAGAAAGATAAATAAATAGATAAATAATAAAACTTGTTTTATTCTTTCAGGGCGAAACTCGATAATTCTACCACCTTCACCGTCACAAAACTTACCTGAATTGTATCTAACGGTGACTCTTATAACCGCTGCTCACAGTTTTGGTTCTGTCATGTTTCTCTTTCAAACAACAAACAAGAATGTTCTTTTTACTGGAGACTTCCGTATTTCAAACAATAATGTGTCTAAATATACATATTTTCATGATAAAAACGGAGATGCCATACACCTGGATGCTTTGTATGTAGACACAACATTTTTAGGTATGTATATTTTTCTTTAACCTGACAGTTATTATGATAATAAAATAAATAAATAAAAATAGCCTTTATTCACTGTTTACTTTTAAATTAATACTAAGTCTAACCTAACGCTTACTTCTAACTGTATTAATTCTTAATTCTAACATCAGCATCGGTTCTGGTTCTAATCAGGTTGTCCTCTGACATAGTCCTCCTCCATATTTCTCCATAAGCAACGGTCTTGTGCCGACCGGCGCCATTCTCGGGGCAGATCGTCTTCCCACCTTCTTGTTGGCCTTCCTCTATACCTCTTTCCATCTCTTGGATACCAATGTGTCATATCTTTTGACCACTATTCTTTTGTTGATCTAACCGTGTGTCCACACCAGCGCCACTTCAGTCTTTTGATTTTTGTTGTGACATCTGTCACCTTGGTTGCCTTCCTAATTCTGGAGAGTCTCCATTTGTCTCTCAGCTTGATGTCTAACATGCTTCTCTTCCATCCATCCATCCCTTGTTGGCACATCTTTAGTCTTTGGCTGAGTTATGATTATCAAATCAGAAATCAGATACGTTTATTGTATGAACTGGTAGATTAAGATGTTACATATGTATGCATTTATTTGTTTCGCAGTTCTTACCCAAGTTGGGCGTACAATGTCTTATAATTACAGTCATTAAAATTCAATTAAAATATACTCTAAATTTAAACGTCAATAAAATAAAATAAAATTAAACATGATGTACTTTGTCAAATATTTGATGTCAGATGAAAACATTGTTAATAAGCGATTTCTTTAGATGAGCCTTGAATTGATCACCATTTAAGTATTTAATATCAATCGGGATTCTGTTATAAATTCTGATTGCCGTTACATAAGTGCTATGGTCAAAGATCGTGCTTTTTATTATAGGGAGTACAAGACGGTCCTTGTTCCTTACGTTAACGGAGTGAACATTGGATATTTTAGTAAAAAAGTTACTGTGACTACGTACAAAGAGGCATACTTCTATAAAATGTATAGTCCTGCTAAAGTCAGGAAACCCTTTTCTTTGTACAGAGTTATATATGTAATTTTTTTTATATCAAAGATGTTTAAACTTTGTGAAAAAAAAATTTGCAGTGAAAAATACAATAAAACTTTTTAAAATTTAAGTGCCGTAGTTAGTCATACTATTTACTGCCTATCTATTAGCACTGTTAATGTAGAATATTATGACACCAAAAAACCGAAGAAATTGATTAACTTGTAGTCGTGGTGTACAAAAA